CCTCTTGATGAAAGTGAAAGAGGAGAGTGAAAAAGTTGGCTTAAAGCTCAACATTCAGAATACTAAGATCATGGCATCTGGTTCCATCACTTCATGGGAAAGAGATGGGGAGATGGTGGAAACAGTGATAGACTTTATCACTGCAGATGATGATTGCAGCCATGAAATTAAAAGATGCTTACTCCTTGGAAGGAAAGTTATGACCAACTTAAATAGCATATTAAGAAGCAGAGATATTACTTTGCCAACAAAGGTCCATCTGGTCAAGGCTATGGGTTTTCCAGTGGTCATGTATGGATGTGAGAGTTGGACCATAAAGAAAGCTGAGCACCAAAGAATTGCTGCTTTTGAACTGTGGTGTTGGAGAGGACTCTTGAGAGTCCCTTGGACTGCAAGGAGATCCAACCAGTCCATCCTAAAGGAGATCAGTCCTGGGTGTTCATTGGAAGGACTGATGCTGAGGCTGAAACTCCAATACTTTGGCCACCTCATGTGAAGAGATGACTCATTGGAAAAGACCCTGATGCTGGGAGAGATTGGGGGCAGGAGGAGAAGGGGACGACAGAGGATGAGATGGTTGGATGGCATCACCAACTCGATGGGCATGAGTTTGGGTAAACTCCGGAAGTTGGTGATGAACAGGGAGGCCTGGCATGTTGCGATTCATGGGGTCGCAAAGAGTCGGACATGGCTGAGCGACTGAACTGAACTGAACCTAAATTGGGACGCTCTTCCAGATTAGTTGCTGACAATAATTTAACCACTGTTATTTGTTATTTGGATTTCTCTCCTGAGAGATTTAGAATTTACAAGGAGTCAACACAGTTTCAAGATTGTTCACAGAGCCAGTAGCCCAATCTTCCCCATTCACACACAGTGGTCTGGAACCAGAGGAAGAAAAGATAGTGAGTGTAGACTAGCACAGCCTGGTCCTTACCCTGGACTCAGAAATGAGGTATAGCCACCTTGTAAAGAGAGGTGGCAAGAAGATCAAAGAGATTTTTCATGAGGGCTTTGCTGAGCCTTGGGAGTTAAATACTTCTGGTATTTTGCAGCTTTGGGAGCATGAAGAAGCAACACCCTGGACAGTGGCTTGAGGGCGCGGGTCATCACCAGAGCAGGCAGAGGAGATCGAGAGGGGAAATTTCCTTACGCACACCTGTGTCGTTTCCCAACAATTCTCACGAGTAACAGGAAGAGACTTCTAAGAAGAGCCTGAGGTCTTGTGCTAGCACGTGGGGCTAACTACCCAGTGACAGGTAGTCGATACCACTACAAGCTCATTTGTTCCCAAAGACAGTGAGATCTGTTGACACTCGTGACCCACATGACAAAAATACATCATAATTTTTATTGAAGTAAATTCCTGACAACATACAATTCAAGGCATTCTGCAGACACAGTAGGCTAAAAGCAGAGCGTGTGTGCTTAGCCAATCAGTCATGTCTGCCTCTTTGTGACCCCATGGACTATAGCCCTCCAGGCTCTTCTGTCCATGGAATTCTCTAGGCAAGAATATTGCAGCGGGTTGACATTCCCTTCTCCAGGGGATCTTCCTGACCCAGGGATTAAACCCAGGTCTACTGAATTGCAGGCAGATTCTTTACTGTCTGAACTACCTGGGAAGCCCAGTGTCTCCTTCAAAAATAGCAGCTGAAAATAATTTTCGTTGCAAATTGTAGAGTTTATGCAAGCCATACTCATGTGAATAAAATAAGGACATGTTCTGGTATACTCTAAGAGTTCCTTAATTTTGCATTAGACTGGCAGGGTGTTTTTGATGTGGTCCACATCCTTGTCTCTGCGAGGCCACTGGTCAGTGATTTTCAAATGCATCCCCTCACCCACAGTGAAATCTGACATGACATTGTATGTAACACAGATCAAAGGAGAGCTGCTCTGAGGAAGTCAGTCATGACTGGGCACAGGGCTTACACATGTTGGCCTAGAGTACCTCTGCTCTGAATTTGAGGCAATTTTGCGGAGACTTCGCTCCGCATCTATTTTGCTGTTGTCTCTGTTTATGCAGTTTTAATTATTCAGATGATTTGGACCCCTTTGGCTATTCATCTGTTAGTCTAGGTCATGGTTCTCTCAAAAATGTCAGAAATAGTGTATTTTCCCAATCCTCGACCCTGTAGTTAAAGTAAGAATTTCCAAGGCAAAGTTCTCCATTGAGGGACAGAGATAGGAAGCAGTACTTTCTGTTTCTTATGAGACAACAACATTAAAGTAATAGAATTTCCAGATTCACAGGTGAAAGGGGCCTGTCTACCATTTTAGCCCTTTGTGTACTGGGCTCACCATCCCTTTGGGACTGAGACTTCCTTGAGAGAAGGGACCATTGCTTACTCATATTTGTATTCCATGCCATTCCTAGCACAGAGAGGTGTTCTGAAAAATGTGGCTAAATTGAATTGAAAAAAGAAAAGAAGTCACTCTAGGATTGAATTATACTCCAAACACATCTGCTTCTATGGATGTGAGAAACACTTTTTTAATGTTAAGATTAAATTTTAACTTTGCTTGAGCATGTCATCAAAAAAATTTGAACTTTTTAATTTCTGCTTTAAGACTGAAAATTATTTTCTCCTTAAAAGAAAATTTTTTAAAGCCTATATGTGTGCAAGGACTTCTGCTTGGTACTTTCATATGTCTTGCTACATATCTTCAGGTACTTTCTATTTCCTTGTCAATTGAACAGGGGCCTGTTTTGTCAAATTACCCAATTTTAATATTTAATTTATTATTAGTTGCTGATATTTTAATACTAGGTACACTATCCCCTCAGGTGGGTCTTTTGTCCTCTTGTTACAGAAGAGAAAGTGGAAACTCTGATGATGGAGGACTAGAGCAACTCCAAGGGGAACCCAGACTTTTCTGACTAGAGGCACCGTGGTTTTTCTTCAGCTCCACGGTTTCATTTCTTTCCCTTCTATACTTTATGAACTTTCTTAACCTACGCATCCCTATCTCTTCAGTTATTAATCATGTCACCATTTTCAATCTCAAAAACACTGTCTCCAAAGTTATTTTTTTTTTTTTTGGTTGTTGTTCATAGTGACATTCATGCAGAGATTCTTGAATGGGTGGAATGTTGGGATAAACGGACTGTAGAGAATTGAGGAGATGCACTCATATACAAGTCTGAGAAATTCTGAGTTGTGGGAGGATGTTTTGTAGAGGAGCCACATGTTTTGTAGAGTATGTAAGTCGCCTTAAGCACCAAGTTTGATCCCTGGGTTGAGAAGATCCCCTGGAGGAGGATATGGCAACCCACTCCAGTATTCTTGCCTGGAGAATCCCCATGGACAGAGAAGCCTGGCAGGCTATAGTCCATGGGGTTGCAAAGAATCAGACATGACTGAGCGGCTAACACACTTTTCCCCTTGCCTGCCTCACTCCAAAGAAACAAACCTGACCAAAGGATTTATTTGGGATCTGTATTTATCATCATAATATTCTGAAAGCCAGGGTACTGCCCATAGATCCCAGAGGTCTGGTCCCTTTGAATTTTTATTGTTTACCTGTTCTAGTCTTTTGCTATTTAGAATATAGGCCTTGGGCCAGCAGGGTCACCATCTCTTGGAAACTTGCTAAAAGTGCAATTAGCAGGTCCTACCAGAGGCCTATTGAATCAGATCTGTTGTGATGCCTAAGCACATTAGAGTTTAATGTAGTTATACTAGCATAGTTTTTGCCAGCAATCTTGGTCTCTTTTCTTGGAATCCTACCTTTTCTCTGCTTAAAATATATGCATGCACATATCTGAATTTAATTCTTGATTATTTTGGTGAGGTTATTCTAATACATGTATTATTCCATAGGCCTTTCAAAATTAGCTGCCTTTTGGAATGTCATTCAATTAATCAGATACTTCTAGTTCTCTTTGGGCTTCCCTGGTGGCTTGGAGGTTAAAGCGTCTGCCTGTAATGCAGGAGACCTGGGTTTGATCCCTAGGTTGGGATGATCCCTTGGAGAAGGAAATGGCAACCCACTTCAGTATTCTTGCTTGGACAATCCCATGGACGGAGGAGCCTGGTCAGTTTGCTATGTTACGTTGATGTCAAGAACCATGTTTTATTTACCTTTGTGCCTACAAGATTTCTTGTATGTAAAAGCTCAGTAAGTTGAAAGCTGAATGAATTTTGAATTGAGTTTTGATTGAATGAGTGAGTGCACGGAAGAAGAGGAATCTATTTAGATGGCACATTCCTTAAGATGGGACATTCCTTAAGATGGGATGGGGGTTCAGGATGGGGAACACATGCAAATCCATGGCTGATTCATGTCAATGTATGGCAAAACCCACTACAATATTGTAAAGTAATTAGCCTCCAACTAATAAAAATAATTGGGGAAAAAAAAAGACTCGGACAATGTCTTAGCTACCACTGAATTGCCAATGCTTCAGAGAAAACCTATCAATAAAATGCTTATTATTGTAGCTGTTAGGTGAGGAGATGTTGTATATTTATTCCTGGCATAAGACCCCAGAGAACAGAAACAGAAAAGGAAATAAAATGGAGCACTAAGTACAGTGCCAGGCACCCTCACAATTGTTATCTCAGCTTATCATCACAGCATCTTGTCAGTTGGGTATTATTTTACTGAGGCTGAAGCCAAGTTCTTAACTCGAAGCACCTCGCCCAAGTTCACGCAACTAGGGTCAGAGCCTCATAAGTTTTGGAAGTCATTTGCCATATCATTGTGTGCACTGCCCTGTTTTCTGTAGAGACTGGAAAGTGGAAAAGGAATGATCCTTTATGATAAAACACAAAAATACACAACTTTCTGATTTCCCCTGATGCATCAGAGGCTCTGTAGATCTGGAGGAAAGAGACCCTCTTTTTTGCCTTTCCACCACAGACTAAGCGGGAACAATGGAATGGAAAAGCTACTCTTGCCTCCTCCCCCACTCCGCAGGTCGTTTTCTGCCAGCGGAACGCAGGTGCTGGGCCTTCAGGCTTGAGGGGGGACCAGAGAGGAACGGACTCAGGGCCTGGCAGTTGCCTAGTAACGCCCGCTGGAGGAGTCCCAGCGTAATAAGGTCCCCGAGAAGTGTCACTGGTCTGGAGTGGGACCCCGAACATAGCCATTGCTCTCCGCGCTAGCGGCCCCCGCTACTTGGCGGGGTAGGACAGGGGAAATGTTGCAGGAGGAGTCGGATCTGTCTCTCATTATTGCCCAGATAGTCCAAAAGCTCAAAGGCTCCAATTTGTACGCTCAGTTGGAACGGCAGGCCTGGGTAAGTGAGGCTGTGGGAAGGGATGGAGACCCGCGGGGCCGCGGCGTTGCCCGGCTCCTTCTGCCTCTGGCAGACCTAAGCCCGAGCCCGCCTCGGCTCTCTTCAGCTCCGCTCCTGGGCACGGAAAATCCTCCCTGCCCCTGGTTAAGCTCCACTTGTTCAGTCTCGGGCGTCGGGTAATAGATTTATTTTTAAAATAGGGTGGGGCACATCATGCCTTTCTTTTAGGCCAGAGCACCGCTGAGGCTATTCATTCATAATGTAGAGCTTTACAGGATCTAATTATTTAAGCTGCTGAAATCGTTGGAGGTAGGTTAGAGTACACCTTCCTTCGCTTTTTCCATCCTGTGGGTGTGTTTGAGCCCCCAGGTTCCTTTTGACTTTGGCTTCTATGACCTTGCTGTCTACTCTCCGTGCAATGATTCCCCCTCTAACGGCCCACCAGGCATTCATTATTTTCTAATGTGTTACATTCTTTGGATGCAGAGATTGATCAGGAGACCTTTGCCTTTTTTTGGTGAATGTGATAAATGGAATCATACAATATGTGAATTTTTGTGCTTGGTTTCTGTCATTTTGCATAATTTGAGATTCATTCATGTAGTTCCTCTTTCAGTAGTTATGTTTCTTTTTGTTGTTGAGTAATATTTCATTGTTTGAAGGTACTGCGATTTGTTTATCCATTCCTTGGTTGTTGGGCACTTTCAGTTAACAGAGTTATGGTTTGTTTCCATTTATAAACATTATGAGTAAAGCTGATATATGTTTTCTGGTATAGTTTGTTTAATTTTCTTTTCTCTTGAATAAATACTCTCGAGTGGAATTGCTGAGTTGTATGGTAAGTGTATGTCTATAAGAATCTACCAAACTTTTCCAAAGTGGCTGTATTATTTTGCATTTCCACAGCAATTATGAGGATTGCTCTGCATCCTTGCTAGTGCTTGGGGTTAGTTTTTAATTAATCAATTTTTATTTGTAATTATACTCCTCTAAATCTTTTGCCTTTAAAAAGATGGTGTTTGTTCTCATACTGGTGAATTGTACAGATTCTTTATGTATGACATAAGTCCCTTATCGGCTTCCCTGGTGGCTTAGTGGTAAAGAATCTGCCTGCTAATGCAGGAGATGTGGGTTCGATTCCTGGGTCAGAAAGATCCCCTGGTGAAGGAAATACTCGCTCCAGTATTTTTGCCTGGGAAATCCCATGGACGGAGGAGCCTGGTGGTCTACAGTCCATGGGGTGGCCAAAGAGTTGGATACAACTTAGTGACTAAACAACATACGATTATTGTACACATTCTGTTAAAAATTTCCCCAAGTATTTCATGTTTTTTGATACTGTTAAAATGCTGTTTTTTTTTTCTTGTTTCAGTGTCCAATTATTTGTTCTTTTTTCATTTGTACTTAGTATACAGAAACATAATTGACATTTGTATATCTGCCATGTATCCTGGGGCCTTACTAAACCTCTGTATTTGTTATAATACCTTTTTTTGTAGATGACTTAGGATTTTGCAAGTCAGGTGTCATTTGCAAATAAAAATGTTTTACTTCTTCCTTTCCAACCAGTGTGCCTTTTGATTCTTTTTCTTGCCTTGTTACACTGGCTAGTGATTCCAGTGTGATGTTGTCTAGATACTTTTTGTTAAGTTGAAGAAGCTTCCTTCTATTCCTTGTTTTCTGAGAGTTTTATTACTAATTGATGTTGAATTTTTTTCTCAGATTTCGTAGTTTATAATTTACTGTTGTTGTGGACTCTATGAATTTTAACAAATAAATAATGACTTGTATCTAACATTGTACAGCATAGTTTTTGATATCGTGAAAATACTCTGTGCTTCTCTTGCTCATCCCTTCCTCCCCCTGAACCTCAGGCAGCCACTTACCTTTTTACTGTCTCCATAGTTTTGCTTTTTTCAGGATGTCATATATGTAGTTGAAGTCATACAATATGTAGCCTTTTCAGATTGGCTTTCACTTAGTAATATGTATTTCAGTTTCCACCATCTGTTTATAGCTTGATAGCTTATTTCCTTTTAGTGCTGAGTAATATTCCATTGCCTGGATGTACGACCACTTGTCCATTCATTGAAAGATACTGGCTGCTTTCAACTTTTAGCAATTATGAATAAAGCTGCTACAAACATTCATGTGAGTGTTTTTGGGTGGAGACATTTCCAACTCATGTGGGTAAATAACAAGGATTGTAATTGCTGGGTTATATGTAAGAATAGTTTATAAGGACCAGCCAACCTGTCATCCAATGCCTTGCTTTTTATTTTTATTTTTTAATTTAATTTTAAATTTTTATTGGAGTACAGTTGCTTTTTGACAGCTCCTTTCTCTTGCGCTTTTGGCAGCTGAACTTTGTCTTGTGGCACATAATGGGTGAGAGATTCCTCCCTCTCTCTAGTGCTGACTTTCCTCTGCTTTGTACTGGTATAGGACTTGGGGCCTGCGAGGGTTTTCTTATGTTTCCATGAGGAAGGTAGTTTTTCATCAATCATAAATCCCCAGAGGCTTCCCCTGTGCCTAAGTGGTAAAGAACCTGCCAGCTGGTTCAGGAAACATGAGATGTGGGTTTGATCCCTGGGTCAGAAAGATCCCCTGGAGGAGGGCATGGCAACCCACTCCTTGCCAGGTAAATCCCATGGACAGAGGAGCCTGGCGGGCTACAGTCACAAAGAGTCAGACACGACTGAGTACACATGCATACACCCAGAACCTCTGCCTTGTCCACCAGAGGTTCAAGGCCTCTTCCTCAAATGAGAGGGGCATTTGGGCAATGTGGCATGGTTACATGCTGTTTTTTTAGTGGTGGCCTATCCTTTCTTGCACACCTGTGCTGCGGAAAGGGACCCTTTGCAGTTCCCTGCTCTGTCCTCAGCCCTGATGGAGACCTTTGGCAAAGAGCATGCAAGTGTGAATTCCCCTGTGTTTTGAGCTCCCAGTGTTTCTAAACTGACATTCTAGCCCACATCTAATCTATAGCAGTTAATTTTAGCTGAATTTTTCTTTCTTGCTTGTACAGTAGCCTCCTTTTCCTCCTGTGCTTTGTCAAATATTAAACAGTTTGTAGTTCCTTTTGTCTTTAGAGGGGCTTGTTACTGTTTGGAATTTAATTCATTTGATTGTCTTAAAACTTCATTTTTCTCTTGAGTTCAAAAGTTAAGATTTTGTAGATTATACCACTCTTTCTCATTGTTAGGGTGGGAGTAATATTTTCTTGTTCTAACTTTCCACATCCTAACATTATCAGAAATCCAATAATAAGTGTTGAAGGATTGAACCTATGTCATTGAGAAAGATTGGTCTGTAATTTTCCTTTCTTGTAATGTCTTTGACAAGTTTGTATCAAGTTTATGCTGGCCTGATAAAATGGCATCTATTTGATGCAAGAGTGTTACAAGACAGTGTTATTTCTTTCTTAAATGTTTAGAAGAAGTCTCCATCAGATTTTCTTTTGAGGTTTTTTTTTTTAATTAGTAAAGCTTTATTTTTTTAGGATGGTTTTAGGCTTATAGAAAAATTGGGCAGAAATACAGTTCTCATACATCTCCTCTCCTTACACACAGTTTCCCTTATTAGCATCTTGCATTAGTGTGCTACATTTGTTATTATTGGTGAACCAGTTGATATTGATACATTACTGTTAAAGTCCACATTTTACATCATGGCTCACTCTTTGTATTATACAGGTCTATGGGTTTCGACAAATGTGTGATACCATGTATCTACTATTCCAGTATCTTACAGAATAACTTCAGTTCAGTTCAGTTACTCAGTCATGTCCAATTCTTTGCGACCCCATAGACTGCAGCATGCCACACCTCCCTTTCCATCACCAACTCTTGGAGTTTACTCAGGTCCATTGAGTCGGTGATGCCATCCAACCATCTCATCCTCTGTTGTCTCCTTCTCCTCCTGCCTTCAATTTTCCCAGCATCAGGGCCTTTTCAAATGAGTTAGTTCTTTGCATCAGGTGGCCAAAGTATTGGAGTTTCATCTTCAGCGTCAGTCCTTCCAATGAATATTCAGAACTGATTTCCTTTAGGTGGACTGGTTGGATCTCCTTGCAGTCCAAGGGACTCTCAAGAGTCTTCTCCAACACTATGGTTCAAAAGCATCCATTCTTTGGCTCTCAGCTTTGTTTATAGTCCAACTCTCACATCCATACATGACTACTGGGGAAACCATAGCTTTGACTAGATAGACTTTTGTTGGCAAAGTAATGTCTCTGCTTTTTAATAGGCTGTCTAGGTTGGTCATACTTCACTGTCCTGAAAATCCTCTGTGCTCTGCCTATTCATTCCTCCCTTCTTTCAAGCCCCCAGCAGCCATTTGGCTTTTACTGTCTCTGTAGTTTTGCTTTTAAGAATGTTTCACTGTTGTAATTATATAGTATGTAGCTTCTCAAATTAACTTCTTTTACTTGGCAATGTGCCTTATGTTACTGTATATCTTTTTGTGCCTTGACAGCTTTTTTTTCTGAATAATATTATATTGTGGGGATATATTAGTTCATTTGTACATTCACTATCTTTTGAAGGACATCTTGGTTGCTTTCAAGTTTGGCAGTTATGAATAAAACTGATATAAACATTCCTGGGTAGATTTTTGTATTGACATAAGTTTTCAGCTAATTTGGCTAAATACCAAGAAGCATAATTTCTGGTTTGTAAGACTTGGTAGAAACTGACAGCTTGTCTTCTGTTGTGGTTGTACCATTCTGCATTCCCACCAGCCTTGAATGACTGTTCCTGTTGCTCCATGTTCTTGCCAGAATTTGGTGTTACCAGTGGCTTAGATTTTAGCCGTTCTAATAGGTATGTTGTGATATCTCACTGTTGTTTTAATTTACAGCTCCCTAGTGACATATGATAAGGAATATCTTCTCATATGTTTATATGCTATCTGTATGTTTTCTTTGGTGCGATGTCTGTTCAGGTCTTTACCCATTTTTATTTGGGTGTTCTTATTGTTGAAGAGTTTTAAGAGTA